AAACTTATTAACAAAATATTATATGTAATGTGAGATATTTTATTCTTATTTTAAAAATTTTAACTTAGAGAGATAGAAAAATCTCTACAGAGCTTGTAAAACATCAGAATAAAAAACAATTGTGTAGAAAATCATAAAGAAACATATTTTACAAATTGTTCATTTATTAAATTAAATTACAACAGCAAAAATTTTAGCTTGTAACACTCCTGGTTTAACATTTACATTATTTATCAAAAAGTAACACATTTATTCATTCAATGTTGCAGTGACAGTGGTCATGATAGGTGTACCGGAGCATCCAGGAGATTCTTCTCGTGCAACATTCAAGTGAGTACGGAAGTGAATTGTAGCTCTCAATAATAACAGTAATTATTTTATTACGATAAGCTCACAAGTACTCTCAAGATGCGAATAATCGTATCATCTTCCGTGATGTAATAATATGACCGGGAACTGCAAAAAGATTTCATCGTGGGAATGCCGTAGGTTATGTGAATCGAATACAATCAAGAACTTGATTACTTTGTAACAGCAAGTGATTTATGCGATGTACTTTAATAGATCGAATAGTCTGACAATCTATCAAGAGATCTTTGAAGTACAGACGCGTGATTCGCGTTTCAGTTACTTTAATTTGCAAGCAAATTAAAATCAATAAATCAAAATTTGCACTTGTGCTCTCTCTCTCCCCCCCCCTCTTGCGCACGTCATTCTTACAATTTCTATAAACTAAAATATCTCAGTCATTAAAGTATTATGATGATATTGGAAAACTGCAATTAATCTCCAATTTATTTGATTGTTGTTCTTGGAAAACGATTAGTTAATCCGATTAGTAATGCTACGTCTTTTTGGAGTTTGTTTTCAACCTTTCAGATATAAGTCAATGAATGACACGCCAATCTTTGATGTAATTTATGTCATTTAATTTAGTTTTCTTAGCCGGTTATACAACGTCAACAAGAACTTTGAACTCAGGCGTTTGAATGGGGCGTCCAATTTATTTGAATTTGAAATAAAGCGACTCAGAATTAATCCTGAAAATGTGTTTCTTTTTTTTTTTTCTAAAACATTTAACTGCTAAATAATATATAATTTTTTAATAAATTAAGACAACAAATATTAACTTGCTATTAACTTTTTATTTATTATTAAGCTTAGAATAGAGATTTGTCATAGATGTTGATATTAACAATTTTCATTAATTTAAAAAACTTACTTAATACATATATTTATGAAAAAATAAAAATTATTTTTGTTATGTTTATTTTCATGTCTATTTTCTCCAACTTCCGTATCAGAATAGAATAGATGTTTGTCTAGCCATTCTCTCCATGTTTTTTCTAGCTATATCAAATAATTCATGGACGTTTCAACGATATTCAGCAAATCATTATCTTATATTGGTGATCCATTCATAATTGTAAAAATGTTCCTTTCTTCCCAAATGGATGGACACATATGTATATCTCGCATTTTTACGACTGTCTCTAATGGAGTTCTTGCGCTTTTAACTTTCATGACGCACATTCGAGCATCCCCTCGAGTATCCTCGACTTGGATTTAATGTGGTCGTTCTAAGGAGTAATCTTTATTGCTACTGCAATTTTTTCACTCCTTCCATATTCCCTCATGCTCTTCCACCTCTTTATTTAAAAAAAAAACCGTGTGCATTTAAAAAACACTTTTAGATCACTTTTTGAATACGTTGTTATTTCGTTGGAATTGCTTTCCACGGCGAATAAAGATGCTATTCATGGTGCGATTCTATATGAAGAAATATTTAAAAAAAAATGCAAAATACGCAAAAATACGACTTACTTGTATAGATATATATTCAATAGATATATGTTTATGAATAAAAATTTTAATTTTAATTTTAGTAGTTTTCAAAAACAAAGTTAACTACATTTGACTGTTATGTAATCTTGAAATGTAATTTCTTATAAACTTCATAGCACGCTATAATTAGTAAAATCGTCATTTACAACTTTTATTTTCGAATGCTTCGACTATCGTTTAAAACTTTTTCCTGTAAAATGTAATTCGTCATTTCTCTCTTTATTTCTCTGTCGCTACTTCGGGCTACTCTGTTGCCCTGCCACCCTTTTCCCGACGTTTCATTCCGTTCGCAAGAAATCTCCCGCCATAAATTCTATGTTGTATCCTCGTGCGTGGTACCGGTCCCGCCGGGGTATCTTTTCTTCGTTTTTGCTAGGACCCTACTCGATTTATCGACATTACCTATCCCACAAGTCTGCCCTTCCCGAATCCATTTGTGGACCATTTCATTTTTACGAATCGTTTATGAAATGGCACAACAACACGTGTTCGTTTATTTTAAAATATAAAAATTTCTATGTCTAATAATATTATCATTTAAATTGTTAGAAGGCTAATTTAAATTGCTTGTCAAAAATTGTCAGAATTGTAACGATTGAAAACATAAAGCTATAAAACTGTTCCATTTATCAAATTCAATAAATAACTTACAATCCTATTATCTGTGATAATGTTAAGAAAATTATATTAAATATTGTCTAATAATTATATGTTAACAAAATTAAATTAATTATTTGACGAAACAAAATATTTAAAAAATCAAATTAATCTACAAAAAGAATACCGCTAATTAACGATAAGGACCATTACACTAATTCTTTAATAAAGAATTCTCTTCTCCTTCGAGCAACATTTTTCATCAGTCTTTTTCTTCACGTGTAGTGAAATAATTCTCTCAGCGATGCATGTATTTTTTTTGTATAAAAGCTCGATTTTTGAAATGTATAAAGTATAAGATGTATTTCAAAATGTAGTCAAATTATAGATAGAAATTGGCTCGACTTACTTTTACTTTAAGTTTTCAAGCTGTCATATTAGACCGTTTTGCTTTTCTCATTTTACAAGAGATTCATGAATCAATAATTGTTTACATCGTACAATTTCATTATTTTCAAGCAAGAGCTGAATACCACAAATATTTTTCCATATAAAATGCAACTTTCTGGCCCATTTGTTAAATTATTGTTCTGATTGATATTCACTGCAATATAAGGATGTAAAAAAGAAATGTTTCTCAATTATCAAAGGGGAATATAAACTTTCAAGAATAAATTGTGCTCATTTCTTTAAATGTCTGCATTTTATTTCAAAGAAAATAATGTGATTCTGTCTTGATTAGGTACAATTATTATTTCTAGGTACATGATTATTTATTGATTATTGGTATTGCAAAAATATTGATAAACGTTATTTTATCAAAAAACCATTTTTATTTTAATATATTTTGCCAAAATTTTCATCATATATTTTCTCACTTCTAACATCATAATTCAAGTGACTTACCGCGTAAGTGAGTCAACAGGAGCTAATTAAATTAAATTAAATTAAAATTGCCATGAACAGTTTTTTTATTTGTTGTTGACTCGATATTCTAGAGATTATTGTGAGACTATTAAATGTTAAATTTCAATTTGTGCTAAAAACTACTAATTTTATCTTGCTGAACTAGAAAATCTTTACATTACGCTTTTCTCAGGAATGCCCCGGCGAGCCTAAAGATTTCCGTGCAGAACAGTGTGCGGAATTCAATAATGTACCCTTCGAAGGAGTATATTACGAGTAAGTAATTTTCTTTTTTCTCTCCCTTACTTTTTCGCTCTAATAACTAATATGATAAATGTTAATGCCTATTTGATTTGAAAATTCCTTCGAAACAAGATTATTGTCGCATCGCTATTTATGTGGATTTATGATTAATGCTCCGATCTGAAGCGATGAAATTCTTTGCAGATCTTGATATTAATAATCCTAATCCTATTCGCTTTATAAACCGCGGTCGTCTTTTAATAAAAGTCATCATACTTTTCTTTTTATGCATTGTGAATAGAGTAGACAAAAGAAATTTGAAAGTTTCTAAAGGTTCTATAAATGGCATAATTTTATTGATATATTGATAGGACAGAATGATGCTCTTTTATTCGCTGTAATCTAAAGTATCTTTATCGCGCGCGCGCGCGCGCGCACACACACACACACACACACACACACACACACACACACACACACACACACACACACACACACACACACACAAAACTTCATTTATTAAGTACGAAAAAGATTCGACAATGCAAGATAATAAATTATCAGATAATAGTAACAGATTGGCAAATTATGTGCGCATTATTTATCGACTTTTCACATTACCAATTATTTATTTTCTACAGTTGGATTCCGTATACTGGAAGTCCGAATAAGTGCGAACTAAATTGCATGCCACGAGGCGAACGCTTTTTCTACAGACATAAAGTCGCCGTGGTCGATGGCACTCCTTGTGAATCCGAAAAGAATGATGTTTGCGTCAAAGGCAAATGCATGGTAAATTATATCATTAGTTGTTAAATGCAAGTTTGCAATTGTGTATTACACTGTACACATAGTTGTAAATAAATTGGAAAAACAGATATAAAGTTCACATGATATTACGTTAGAATTTATAATAAAATTTTTTCGATTAGCATGTCGGATGCGATATGATGCTGGGCAGTGATACCAAAGAAGATGCATGCAGAGAATGCGGCGGTGATGGTTCAGATTGTAATACCATCGAAGGTTTATTTGACACAGACGACCTCCAAGTGGGTGAGTTATTTTCATTGATTAATCCTTATTATAAATCAAAATATATTTTATATCTTTTTTTAGTTACTATTTGTTTCTTTGTAAAGTTATTTGCAAATTTACTCTCCCCCCCCTCTCTCTCTCTCTCTCTCTCTCTCTCTCTCTCTCTCTCTCTCTCAACAATAATAATAAAAAATATAATAATTTTTCTAGGTTATATTGATATTTTACTTATTCCTGAAGGAGCAACAAATATCGTTATAAAAGAGCAAAACCCATCCAATAATTATTTAGGTAAACATTACTAAAATTAAAACTTGTATAAATATCTGTAGAAAGTAAATGATATGAATTATATATTTATATTTAGCATTAAGAATTTATCGATAAATATAACTCGAATTCCTCAATAATCGTTTGTTTTGATAATTTTTGAAAATTGTTGTATAGCCATTCGCAATACAACTGGACATTATTATTTAAACGGAAACTGGAGAATTGATTTTCCGCGCAGTTTGCGCTTTTCCGGTACAATCTTTCATTACGTTAGAGATCCTCAAGGATTTGCAGCACCAGATACTATCACGGCTTTAGGACCTACAAATGAACCGATTTATGTTGTGGTTGGTATACATCGTTATCAGTTTTCTTTTATTATTAAGATATTTAGAAAAAATATAATGACAAACTGTTTCATTTTTGCAGCTGCTATACCAAGATCACAATGTGGGTGTGCATTACGAGTACAGCATACCCAAGAAATTCTCGCCACGTACAGATCCAGATAGTTACACCTGGATAACCGATGAATTTTCAAGTTGCAGCGTCAGTTGCGGTGGAGGTATTATAAAATTATCATTTTAATATTAAAATTTCAGATTTTTACGTCCCATTTAATTACAACATTTTCTTACCGTAGCACACAATGCTTTTACTCGTAATTACATAATGCGTAAATATTTAAAGTATACATAGAGTTCATTAAAAAATTTAATATTTTATTTGTTGATAATATTGATAATATATAAATATATTGATAATATATAAATGTAAAGATAAGTATTTTAATTTTTTAATAAATTATTTTTATTTCAATTTGCAATTTCATAGTGCACGCGCGCGTGCACACACACACACACACACACACACACACACACACACACACACACACACACACACACAGAGAGAGAGCAGGATAATAGTCAAAATATTAATAAATCTCTCAAAATAATATATCTTTTAAGGCTACCAATCAAGACGAGTAGCTTGCGTACGAAGGCGCGACAACCAGCCAGTAGATGAAAGCCTATGCGATCCTCAGCTGGAACCGACTGACACGCAAAGCTGCAGCATAGACCCATGTCCGCCTATCTGGGTAGAAGGTCCATGGTCAGTTTGCACTAAACATTGCGGTGAAGGAGGCGAGCAAACCAGAGAGATTAGATGCGAACAGATCGTCTCGGGTGGAATAGCTTCCATCGTGGATGATTCTCAATGTTTGGAAGAAATAGGACCAAAGGGGCTCACTAAGCAGGAATGCAATAGAGATGTGGATTGTCCACAGTGGCATGAAGGACCCTGGAAACCTGTAAGTTATCGCATTATTGAACTACGATTTTATGATTACGACAAAAAAAAATTTTCTTTCAGTGTGATCATATATGTGGGCCTGGTAAACAAATTAGGGCAGTCACATGCTACAGAAAGGCGAACGGCAAGATTCAAGTGCTGGAAGATGAAGCATGCGAAGCAGAGATGCCCGAACGTGAAAAATCTTGTGAGCTAAGACCTTGCGCTGGTCTCGATTGGGTTACCTCGGAATGGAGCGGAGTAAGTCTTTTTAATGCGCTAATAACTTTTTATCGAGTAATTGATTCTGTAGATCTTTCAAAGTTTTAAATAAACAAGCATAATTTGAAAAATTTCTTCTTGATAGTGCGAAGAGAAGTGTGATCTCACTAAAGAAACCAGGACGACCCATTGTGCTACTCAAGACGGCATGGTTTATCCGAATGACTTATGTGATATGGACAAAAAGCCAGAATTGGAAAGAAACTGTGAGAAAGCTAAAAACTGCGACTTTCAGTGGTTCGCCTCGCAATGGAGCGAGGTAAGCATTTGTCCGTTATTTATTTAAGAATAAAAATTAAGAATAAACATTTGTCCGTTATTTATTTAAGAATAAAAATTTATTTCAGAATACAAATGTATACAACTTAATTGACTAAATAATTGATTAAATATAACAACCAAGAAATATTCTTGAAATTAAATATAATACTTTTATTAAGTGCAAGAAATGGCAATACAAATTATTTTGTTTTTGCTTTTTATCGTTATTAACAATTTTACAGTGTTCGGCAAAGTGCGGATTCGGCGTTCAAACGCGAAAAGTATTTTGTGGCACTTTCAACGATGATACTGTGAAAAAGGTTTCAGACGAAAATTGCGATCCTGAAAGAAAATTCGAAGATATAAAAAATTGTACTGCTAAAGAACCGTGCAAAAGTGAATGGTTCGCAGGACCTTGGAGCAAGGTTTGCCTTTTTTCTTAATTTATTTTTGCAAATGTTTATCATTTTATTTTGATTGACGGTTTTGTTTGTTCTATTGATAATTATTCTATCATAATTTTGCCGAGTTCAATTATAATATACATTTATTATTATTTTTCTGAAATGTATTAATATCATTAATCATATAATATATAATTATAATATATAATACAGTGCTCGAAGCCATGTGGCGGCGGCGATATGACTCGTAAGGTAATTTGCATGAAGGATAACAAGACGGTACCTGTAACACAATGTAATGCCAACACCATTATATTCTCTACCGAAAAATGCAACGATCAACCTTGTGAAGAAGGTGAGGATTTAACAAGTCTTTATATATCAAAGCATTTTAGCATTTAATGTACGCTTAATAAGATGAATTTTTAGACAATTTTAAAAAGAGATATCATTTTTTAAAATAGAACATAACTTAAAATAAATTTATATCAATAATATTTTTAAAAACGATTGTTTAATGAACCTGTTATTTCAACCTTTAAAACTCATTTATTTTATATTATTTATATTATTTATCATTAAATCATATTCCTATTATATACGAGATAGAAGCAATATATGTATATTCTATAAAATTCTAATATGTAATCTATCTAAAAATTTGATAGATTAAAAAAATAACATTTCTTATTTGAAAAATAAATTCCATTTTTCTGTTTACATGAAAAAAATTTTTTGGATGTGGTTCTCACTTTTATTATTAGAGATAATAATACAGGCATATTAACATTTGCTTCATCATAATGCAGGGTACATGATTTACATTGTGACGTCAACCTCCTCATTATAGGCCATGAGCATAAAATATTGAACATACCTAGAACAGCAGGCGTGAAAATAATGAGGTTCGTGGTTAAATTAAATTCAAATGTCTTAGCACTTACCACATTTTAAAGGACAACACGAACCACCCACCGTAAATGTAACATCACTCATTTCTCTGTAGCAAGGAAAATTAAGTTTCCGGTGTGCTTTCGAAGCTAGTCATCAATAAATAGAATGCACGCACATAAGAGTCTTCAACATAATAAAAATGATATTTACGTGCATCTTCTTAAGAAGTCTGAGTTACAAATTTAAATTATAATTTATATAAATTCATCATTTTATTAAACGCAGGCGTGACACCGATCGACGTAGAGCCAGATGCGAAAACGACAGAATTTGCGGAGGAAGAGTGTGAAGAAGAGGAGGAGGAGGAGGAGGAGGAGGAGGAGGAGGAGGAAGAAGAGGAAGCCGTTGAATTCAGCCTTCCTGCGGGGGTAAGTGAAGGTTACCTGGTTCGTGTCGCATCTAATTAAATATTATTATGTGACTGAATTATTTCGTAAATAACTTCGTTTCTTATTGTTCCGCCGTTTTAAAGAATAATTTTGGACTCGAATCAAATCAATCTTCTGTTATACGTAAAACTTAGTTAAGTTCTTATAACTCAGTTTTCCTTCGATCTCGTTTCTCATCAATAATCGGATGTATCGTTGCGACAATTGTATTATTGCAGCGTCTTTTTTTATTTCAGAAAGTGACAATAGGCAAATTCGTCGAGCAAACAGAAGCAACACCTCTGATCACGCTGTCCACCGAAAGTGATATTTACGACACTATGTTTAGTGATTCTACGAGAGGCGATATATCACCTTCGGAATTGGGTAGTGGCGAAGGTAGTGGTGATGATGATGATTTTACCATGTTCGATACTAGCTTATTCACCGGCAGCACGATCGATACCGATACTACTGCTGTCGAGGAGAACAAAAGTCCGGTTAGCGAAATTACGACAGAAGGCAAAACTGGCACAACTGAGTTTGAAATAGAAGTAACTGAATCGTCGGATGTTACAAAAGGAATCGATGTAACTCTCGAAGGATCCGGCACTACTATCGAAGACGAATTTGACACAATCCCCGAAGAAGGATCTGGTGCTAGTACATCTACGAACGAGCTCACAGAAGAAATTACAACGGAAGAAACTCAAGCCTCAACATCGCAATCCGACAGTACGTTTCTGTTAAATATATGATATTCATTACAATTTTCGAAAAATCTCAAAGTATCCCAATATAATAAATTGTATTTAAAAATACAATATGTTTTGTTATATTTGTTAATGAAATCAGCATTATTCCATGTACTTATTATACAATTCTTTTGATATTATAAATCAGGAGAAACAGAGCAATCGACGAATTATTCCGATATCATCACCAGCGAACTAACTAGTAATGTAGAAATCAAGTCAACCGCCAGTGAAAATTCAATAACATCAACCGAATCCAGTGATATAACAATTAGTTCGAGCGACGTAACAAGCGATACGACAAGCGAATCGTCTGATACCGATGTTACTTTAACGGAAACCACGATTTCTCCTACGACTAGAACAGGAGAACCCACTGAAACAACAGATACAACCGAAACAACAGATACAACCGAAACAACAGATACAACCGAAACAACCGATTCGACAGAGATTCAAACAACTATCGAATCTACAGATGCAACGGAGTCCACAGAATCTCCACCAAGTACATTATCTTCAGAGATGGAGACCACAGCTACAGAAAAAACAGAAACGACTGAAAGCGAGATCACGTCCGGTAAGTACCGAACCGCAAAATTGTTTGTAACATTAATTGAATATCGCATGGAGGTACAATTATATTTTATATTTTATATTATTCAAATCGAAACCATACGCGTGATATTTGGATCTTCTAAATATATTTTTCAGTAGCTTTGTATAATGCGGAATACATGTACTTGTATTTCTCTGTTGCAATATAAGTGCTAAATTAAATAATTTTAATTACAACCAAGTCGAAAATGGAAATTACAAAGAAATAATATCTTATAGAAACGGCGACTGACATGTCATCGACAATGGTTTCTCAGCTAACAACCGAATTGAAAGTGCAAGGCGAATATGATTTCAATTCGGAGGAACAAAGTACCGATACCATAACTACGGTATCGAGTGAAACAGACGAAAGTTACAGTGCTACAAAAGTTAGCAGTACGGAAGAAATTACTGTTTCTGAGATGAGTCCATCGAGTGAAACTGAAACTACTGGCAGCGAGATAATGAAAACAACCGAATCAGAAGAGACAACTGAGCCCGTGGGCATTAATACGAAATCAACTGAAATAACAGAACTGACAACTGAACTGATAACTGAATCCAGCGATATTACGTCCTCAAGTATAACTGTCAAGTCAGATGCAACAGAATCTAGCGAAACTACCATTACAGTCTTTACGGAGTCGGAAGTTACGGAGACTACTGAATCGATTATGACGACCGAGTCGGACAAGACAACTTTGACAGGCGAAACGACTGAATTGCCGGCTACAACAATGTCTTTCGAAGAAACAACGATATTTGGTGAAACCACCACGACGGAAGTTACATCCTCTATGATTAGTGAAGAAACCGATCTTACCGGAAAGACTCATAGTAAGTAATATTAAAAAATGTTTATCACACGTAGATATTTTCCTATTATTTTCCTATTATTAACGTAAACTTGACTTTAGTCACAGAAATATGGACGACCAGCTTTCCGGAAATAACGGCACGCAAACGGCAATGTAAACCAAGGAAGAGCTGTAAGAAGACATCATTTGGATGTTGCTATGACAATATCACTGCTGCTCACGGACCATTCGGTCAAGGTTGTCCGACACCGCAAACGTGCAACGAGACACGCTATGGTTGCTGCCCCGATGGCGTGTCACCAGCCACTGGTCCCAAGAACAAGGGTTGTCCCGATTCTCGGTGTAATGAATCACTCTTTGGTTGCTGTCCCGATGGCGTTACTATAGCACAAGGCAACGATTACGAAGGATGCAAGAAACCATGTAAAGAAACAGAGTTAGTTTCCATTTAGTTTCCATTCTACAAAAGAAACTCTTTAAATGTATAATCTTACGTGTATGTTTATCTTATGATTTATTCTACAAATGCTTGTGCATTTGTAGATTTGGATGTTGTCTAGACAATGAAACTGCAGCCAGCGGAAAAGCTTATTTAGGATGTTGTAACGTTACCGAATTTGGTTGCTGTCCAGATAACATTAAAGCCGCTTCTGGTCCTAATGGAGAAGGTATTTATATCGTTTCTCTGCGTCACATAATTAAAATAAAGATTATAGTAAATAGTATTTTTTTCAAAATTTTGCCTTTTGTGAATCGTGTGAATTATTGAATACTGTTTGCGATATTCTTGTTACATATATTACATATTTTTAAATAACTAATAACAGTTAAATAACAGTTTTTTAAGTAATGGTATATGCTATGATAAGGTTGCGAAGAAGAAGTCACTTCTGAAATCTTCCAAACAAAGATATATGAAATAACAACATCAATTATTTCGCACGAAGATTGTGCAAATACTACTTATGGTTGCTGTCCTGACGGTATCACCATTGCAAACGGTGCCAACTTTGAAGGATGTGGTGTCATTAATACCGAAAACTGCAGCGTGTCCTACTTTGGATGTTGCCCTGACGGAATTTCCGCGGGTTGGTTACGTAACAATAAATAAATTATGACAAATTTTAGGCATTCAGGCATTATCTTTCAAAATAATTTTTAATTAATTCACAGAATATACTGTTTGGAGAAAAGAAACTCGTATCTATTAATATTTTAAAACGCATCATTAATTAATCTTCAATTAGAATTTTATTGTTAATTAATAAAAGTGTATTATAAGAAGAAAAACTTCTAGCATTTTTGTATTGTTGCCATTTTTTATTTTCTTATTGTTAGCCAAACTCATCATATGTCATTAATCGATCGAATAAATAATCGATAGAAAGTATCGAGATAATATGATAATAGTGATTGATTCTAAATCCAATAATAATTCTATCTTTCATCATATAACACTTTGACTGTTCGTTTTGATTGTTTCCACAGCTCTTGGATCGGACAATTATGGTTGTCGTATGCCATGCCATGACAGTGCTTACGGATGCTGCGAGGATGGAGTAACACCGGCGCACGGACCAAACAACGAGGGTTGCTGCTTATCAACCCCTTACAAGTGTTGTCCGGATAATAGTCTACCGGCTCGTGGACCAAATTTCTACGGCTGTGGCTGCCAGTATACGAGATTTGGTTGTTGCCCGGATAATTCAACGGCAGCGCGTGGACCAAACAATGAGGGCTGCGGCTGTCAATACACGCCTCATGGTTGCTGTCCGAATCGATTTACTCCCGCTAGTGGACCCAATTTTGAGGGATGCCCATGTTATACTTATCAATTTGGATGCTGTCCCGATGGTATTACTATCGCCAAGGGTTCTCATGGTCAAGGTAGCACGATCAATGCAATATAGTACATATATAAAATTGAATAACTAAAAGTAACTTGAACTTGAGGAAAAATAGAAAATTAAATATGTTTTGCAATATATATATATATAAAACGTATATCATATATCGTATATCGTATATCGTATATCGTATATATAACGTTTATAGGTTGCGGATGCGAGAACACAAAATATAAATGCTGCTCGGATGGCAGAACGCCGGCTGAGGGACCAAACTTTGCCGGATGCACCTGCGATTCATCGCAGTACGGATGCTGTCCGAATGGAATCGAGGAAGCTCAAGGGGAGAACTTTGAGGGTTGTCTCATGACACCTTCGATGCCTGGTGTTGCTTGTGGTTTGAAAAAAGATAGAGGCTCTTGTCGAGACTTTACAGTCAAATGGTTCTATGACACTGACTATGGCGGTTGTTCAAGATTTTGGTATGGAGGCTGCGAGGGTAACGAAAATCGATTCAAAACGCAAGAGGAATGCAAAGAGGTTTGCGTTCAACCGAAAGGGAAAGGTAGCTATTTGAATATGAATTTTTTACATTGTTAAAATGTAAAAAAATATATTATAATTATTATAACATATTGTTTTCCTGTTAAATTAAAAATTACGTTAAACATTAAAAATGTACACATTTCTTATTTTATAAAATTAAAATTAAAATTAACTCTTTATGAACAAACGGATATTATTTGTATTCGATATGGTAATAGCAAACATTGTATTCGTACAACGAATCTTTCATTTATTTGGCAGCTGCTTGCTTTTTGCCAAAAATCGCTGGTCCTTGCGAAGGTTATCATCCAACGTGGTATTACGATGCCGGCAGGAAGCAATGTGGTCAATTCGTTTATGGCGGTTGTCTCGGCAATGCTAACAAGTTCAAAACGAGAGAAGAATGCGAGGAACTTTGCGTTACACCAGACGACATAGGTAAGCAAAGTTTATCCGTGATATAAAATATATTATATCTAATAGATATAATGAATATTATATTTTCAATCATTTTAAATCATTTTGCTTTTCTTCAGATATACATTTAGGCAAATTTGCTTTATTTGTATATTAAATTAGATATAAAATCTAATGCAAGATGAACTTTATTTTAGAAAATATGCGAAACAACTAACGGTTATAAATTTGCCATTTAAATTCCTTATAGATCCTTGCGATCAACCGAAAGAAGTAGGTCCTTGTGCAGGCAATTTCACAAAATGGTATTTCAATCGAGAATCGCAAACTTGTGAACAATTCGTATACGGTGGTTGTAAAGCAAATGATAATAACTTCCCGACAGAAATCGCTTGCCATCAACAATGTTTACAACCAGGTCGAAGAAAA